TTCAGGGTTTGGGGTTTAGGGTGAGGGTAAGGCTCTATAGTCCCCAAAACACATGAACCCTGAACTCCTCTGGGAAATCCTTGGAGGGCTCCTTGAGCCTCGGAAGTCATAAACCCTCCTAAGCCAGCGGGAAACCTGCCTCGCTACCCTTAGGGTTTAGGGTTTAGGGTTTAGGGTTTAGGGCTACCTACCAACGTCGTGGGTTTAGGGAAGCCCGAGCCCTAAACCCTGAACCCTAAGCCCTAAAGCCCTAAGCCCCAAAATCCACACCTATCTGCTTAATATAGGTGCCTTAATAATTAGACTAGGGTTTTGGGGCCCATGATACTATAATTATAATAAGGAACCCCCAAAACATGGCATAGGTAGTTATTAATATAAGTGCCTTAATAATTAGAATAGCGTTTTTATAATAAGGAACCCCCAAAAATAGTATAGGTAAGGCCCCTATATTACCCAATACACCCGTGCCTGTCGCGGTGCCTTCACTGCCAGGGCTTCGACCACGGCCACAGGGTCGGAGATAGACTCGACCTGAGAGAAAAAACAGGCTGTAAGGGTGTTTAGAGGGTTTAAAAGTTTTGGGGTTTAGGGTTGGGGGTTTAAAATATGTAGGATTGGATATCCTGAGGAGGGAATAATACAATTTGAGGGTTTAGGGCTTGCTTTGTGCAGTTCGTTTAGGGTTCAGGCTTTAGGTTTGTGGGTTTGGGGTTCGTGTAACCCTAAACCCAGAGGCCCCATAGTAGTTCCTTTTTGTGGCTTATATTTAGGATCCTCTTAGGTAAGCCCAAAAAGGAACTACTATGGGGCCTATGGGTAAACCCTAAACCGCTCTTCTTTGTTTGGAAGCAGGTCTCAGGTCCGGGTTTAGGGTTTAGGGTTTAGGGTTTAGGGTTTAGGGGTCAAGGGTTTAAGCAAAAAGCGAGAGCTTGCTGGTGGCATGTTTCCCTAAAGTCGAGGGTTTCGCTGTTGTAGCGGATTTATATACGGACTGGGCTTCTAAGATTTTCGGGCTCTGGCTAAACTCCACCCGCACATCCTAAAACCACCAAGAGGCTTAGCGGTTAGGGCTTGTCGATTTTGTAACCCAAAGTCGGAAGAAGCTCGGAGGCATAATGTTGCAGGACCTGAGGCCCCACATCATCGTTCGGGGTTCTTGAGTCGAGGGTTGCTTTTTGGGCCTAGGGCTCTAGGGGCTTAATTAGGCTTTTGTGGTTGAAGGGCTCAGGTTTTAGGGTTTAGGATTGTATAAGGCCTAAACCCTAAACCCTTAACCCTAAACCCTAAACCCTAAACCCTAAACCCTAAACCAGTATAAGGATGGTTCAGGGTTTCGGGGTCTGAAGCCCAGAAGTGCCCTTCCGGGCCGCCCGACCCGAACGACGTTGCGCAGCACCTGTGAGGCGGAGGTGTAGGGTTTAGGGCTCAGGGTTTAAGGTTTAGGGTTTAGGGTTTAGGGTTTAGGGTTTAGGGCTCAGGGGTCGGAGGAATGTGAGCCTACCAAGAGTCTTTGGGAGGTTTGACAGGGGTTTCCAAGGGCAGTGGCTCCATTAGAGGAGGGGACTGGAAAGGCGGACACACATACAATAAATCCGCATGAAGCCCCCGCAAAGCCCCATAACAACCCTCGAAAACCGTCTAAGCCCCACGAACCTATAGAGCCCGCGAGAAACCCCATGAGAAAGGCAGACACAAAACATGCAAAACCCTAAACCGCAATACAATCCATAAGACCTTAAGAAACTCCTGAAAACTGTGCACCGTATATAAGCCCCTGTAAAGCCCTTCCATTTCGAAATTAGAACTGTTGCTTCTCTACTCCAAACCCTTTAAACCTTTCAACACTCAGACTCAAACCTGAACCCTAAATCCCTTCTAGAACCCTTATATAATACCGACCCTAAACCCTAAGCCCTAAACCCTAAACCCTAAACCCTAAACCCTAAATACCTATAGGATCCCTCCAAGGGAGCCTCTTGCTTCCCCTGAAAGCAAGCCTAAACTCAAACCCCGCCGCCCCCCGGCCCGAAACAAGTTTAGGGTTTAGGGTTTAGGGTTTAGGGTTTAGGGTGACAAGGCTATCAAAACCCTAGAACGATCTAGAACAACCCCGAATCCAAGATCTTCGAAGACCTTTAAAACAAATCCGTTAAGACGCCTCACAGAATGCCTTAAAGAGCCCCTCACCAATTACCCGAAACCCCTAAACCCTCAACCCTAAACCCTGAAACCTAAGCTATAAAACCTAAACCCCAAAATCCCCCAAACCCTAGACCCTCCAAAACCCTGGAAAGCCTTAAACCCCTCAACCCCTAAACCCTCAAAATCCTCAAGTGCTGGGCCCCCGTGCCACGGAGGGATCCTCAGAATCCCCCTCGAAGACCACGCCGGGGGAATCGATTAAGGTCACCTCTATCAAGCTGTTTAGGGTTTAGGGTTTAGGCTTCCTTCAACGGGAACTACGGCTGATGAAACAAATCCTGCATCACCCATAATAAGGAATATACCAGAATTCCCATAGTTTAGGGTCCTTAAGGTAATGCAGGATTTATATCATCAAGAGTAGAAGGGTTCCTCCTTGAAGGGATCTCATGGGATCAACAAAGGGTTAAGGGTTGAGGTGCTTTGGCTTGATCCGAATTCATTGGTTCCAGCTTATCATGACAGGCATGAAACAGGACGTCACGAGCAGATCGGAAGTCTTTAGGAGCTAGCTATCTATGTGGTTTATAAGAGCTGGAACTATCAGATACGACCGACTCTCAAAATTTCAAAACTTGATAAAGCCGAAATAATTTTAATAGTCAAAATCAAAAAATAATTATCTAAAAAGAATTTATAACGGTTTCTCGGGCTCAGGATGGTTTAGGGATGCTTAAGGCATCAAGTTCTCGGGCTTAGGGTTTACATAGCGGGGAGCGCAGGATTCAGAACTTAACGAGTGAGGTGGCAGAAAAGCTATGTAGACGGAAGGAGAGAGAGAGAGAGAGAGAGATATAGATAGATAGATAGATAGATAGATAGATACATAGATAGATAGATAGATAGATAGATAGATAGACAGACAGACAGATAGATAGACAGATAGATTGGTTGATAGAAAGGTATATCTATCTATATCTGTATATATATATATATACACACACACACGTTCACTTCTTGACAAACAACTCGTACACCGGAAACCACAAAAGCTCCTGCCTAGAAGGGAGAAGCGTAGCTTCAATGACCGCGCCCATGGGAAGTCAAGTCAAACAGACACAGACACACCCTACACCTACTAATCAAAGCGCGAAAACGGATGGAATCGCAAATCCGAAGTTCTCCACTACACCGCCCCAAGAAACAAAGACAATGACCGGCTAGCTGATCCTACTGTCGCGAACCAGTGCATCCGCTAAAGCCTGAAGCCCACCCGTCCGCACCACTTTGCCTTGGAGTCCAACTGCACCTCGCAGGTGAAACGAGTTGAGGGTTACCTATAGTCACTGTAGTCTTCACGGCAGTTCCTTTTTGTTGGGTGAACAGATCTATACATGTACTTCGATTGCTATACGGTAGTCCAAAAAGGAACCAAGGAGACTATAGACTATAGGTACTTCAAGCAAGCATGCTGAAACCAGTTTTCAAACCCCAAACCAGCAAACTTCCTTCCAGCTAAGCAAGCACAAACTGGGGTTTTCGAAATGGGGAATTCCTATCGTCTCCACTGTGGTTCCTTTTTGGGGTTACCTTTTAGGATCCTTAATAAGAAAAATTGGCTAAAGTTAAGCCAAGAAGAGGAACTACAATGGAGACTGTAGGTTAGTCATTTAGGGTTTAGGGCGCATGGAGTTTACCATAGCATGCCCGAAGATCTGAACGCCCGATCCGAGCACCCTAAACCCTAAACCTGAAGACCCTACTTACTTTGAGGGGTTTTGAAAGGGATAATGGGGCTTTTGGCAAAATTAGGTCAGAGTTCTGAAGAGACTATGAAGGAATGCCTGTGCGAATTATTCAGACTTCTTTGCGTTCGAGGCTTTAAAGCTTAGGATCAGAGGCTTCAGGGTTTGGGATGATAGGACCCACAAGAAAAGCTGTCGGGTGCTGCCTCTTGCATCACCTTTGTGACGCCGGCCCGCCCACCTCACGCGAAGGGAAGCGAGTCTGCACATCGTTAGGGGCTCGCGAGGCAGAAGAGGACTTGCCTCACTCCCCAAGAACGTATGGGTTTAGGGTTTAGGGGTTTAGGGTTTAGGGTTTCATATAACGTCTTTTATCTGCCCGTCCTCCCCCCCCCTGCTCCTCTAACATGTTTCGCCCCATGCATTCAAAACCAATCAAACTCATCTGCGGGCTGTGAATCCTTGGAAATCTTCATAAATTCATGAGCAGGGTAAACTGCAACATGCAGCCCAACGTGACATTATCAGATCCTGATAGGATTCCGCCTTGTCCCGTGCTCAAAAACACCGTCGTTGTAACACCACATTGGAACAACATCTTGGAAAACCGTAGCAGCCCCTGAACAGGAAAAAACCCGAATCCATCTGAATCCCACTCCCCCGCATTTGACCCCCCAAACCCCTTGCAGGAACCCTGAACCTCAAGTCTTAAATGCATCCTAAACCCTAAACTCTAAACCCTACACACTAAACCCTAAACCCAAAACCTGGGGGCTGATGGGCAGATGGGCCTGTCTCCACGGCACTGTGCCTCTTCATCGAATTGATGACCTCTGCATGCCACACCCAAAGGCTCCATGTAGCTCATATAGTAGATACTTAGGCCTTAAAGCGGTCCCTATTGTAGGGTTTAGGATGGGTTTAGGGTTTTTTTTTTTTTAAGCACCTTTTTCCGTCTGCAGTCAGCCGGCGGAGAGCCCCAGGGGGCAGGCGTAGTAAAAACCCCTCAGCAGCGATAGCGCCATTGTCGTACAGGTGGTAGCTTCGCTTTCGTGACCCTTTGCCGTCAACCCTGAGTATCATCATCTTGTACTTGTGTCACCGCTGAGCCGTCCTCACTATCCAGTAGGTCTTCCTGCATTGCGAGCCACTGGGCCAAGAACGTAGAGGCAACGTCATCCCCGTACATCCCCCGAATGTCGCTGTCCGTGTAGTGACCCTGAGCCCATGCCTCATATGCAGCATTCAAGGAAAGCAGCTCCGTAGCACCAGTCCGCTCTGCATGAGGTGCCACAGGTAGGAGCGCCTGAGGCAAGCGGTGGAAGGACGATGTAGCACCAGGAGGCGCCTCCGAGCCATCGGGGTCGTCAGCCGGCACTCCAACCTCTCCCAACTCGATGCTCAGCCGAAGGCCTCCACGAACAAGTCGGGGAACTCTGCACTCCATGACCGCAGCCGGCGGCACGCTCGACGACGCTGTCCCCCCTGTGTCCACAGCCGGAATCGGCTCAACCATGACCCTGACCCTGTGGTGGATGGTGGCAGAGGGCGGCGGCAAGGCTTCCACGTCCACGGTGCGCCACAGCCGTAGTGCATCTGCTTCCTGCATAGCCTCCCACTCAGCCTCCTCAGCCTCACGTGCAAGCTGCTGCCTTTCACGTTCTCCCCTGATGCGGTCCTGCCATTCTCGTTCTTCTCGCTCATGTTGGAGGTCTTGCTCGGTAGGCGTCGCCACCGCAGGGGAAGCTCCATCCTTGATGTCGTTGGTGTACTTTCGCTTGCGAACAACCTGGCCCTGCATATAGACTGACTCGTCCGGGTCCCCGTCGTCCTCTTCAAGGTCCACCGCCACCAGGAAGGT